TCCTATATTTAGACACAATTGCACTAATGTTTATCACTTTATATCTGTAATTTCGAACTGAAACATAATTATTTAATATTAAATAGAGGAATAAATGTTTGCCCAATATAGCGGGTGGTTGTGTACAATCAGGGCATCGTCCATGTTGTCTTTAGGTTATTAGAATATTTTGGTGTTGCCTGCAGGTGTTATACAACAATTTGACAAATGTCTGAAATGAAATACCGACAGAGTCGAATGATTTACCCAGAATTTGTACCAGATCTATAATCAAATCCAAGCGAATAACCAAAATTTCTGTGTAATGTGCCGCGGTTATAATATGGTTCAAGATGACACACGGGTTGATGACGTCAGTTACACGAATCGCTTGAACGCATTGGTTTTAACCGCGGTTTTGTTGCAAGTTGTTTATTTTAGAAAAGCGCGTATATAATCTCTGATTATTTTTATTATCAGTTAATAATCGGTGCTTTTTCGTCTACAACTGTATATGGAAAGTTTAAATAAGAAACCTTTCATAATATTCATGGGAGAAATGTTTTTTTCGGATTTTTTTTTAATGATGGAACCATGGCTTTGTAGCTATGATAACTTTCAATTCTCTAAATTTTTCCGCATGTCAAAGAAAACATTTATTGATTCAGCAGAAATGATGAAAAAAGAAATTAGCAAAACCATATACAGGTGGATATCATCTAGTGAGTTTATATGGCCATATTTTAATATTCTTGTGGTATATGGCTACACAGGATACTTTGTTAAGCATAGGAACTACATTTAAAGTGTCCCCAACAACCGTAATGAGTATAACTAATAAGGTGCTCCACTTTATGGTACAACTGAAGTCAGCCTGTATCATTTTTCTCAAAAATAAAGCTGAAGTACAATAACAATATCCAATACGCGGCAAAATTCTAACTTGTCACATTTCAAATAATAACCAGAAATATAAAACTACTCTTGAGTTGGGTAAATACCACAATTTTGCGGTGATAACTATGACATATAACAGCTGATTCGTGACGTCACGGATCTTATAACCAAACTGATAACTACACTCGCTTGAACGGATTGGTAAATACCAACCCAAAATGGTAAATACCATTTCCATTTGGTTATCCGCTTGAATTTGATTTATATCTTCTGTTTGAACAGTTGATAAAACCTTTTGAACCGATATGCATGCGTTGTTTGTCTTAAAACGTTGGTTATGTCATTTTAACAAAAATATGACAGCAGAAAGTTAGGTTATGGTGAAGTTGTTTACCAACATATTTAGCATATATGTAACAGTTGTATAAGTGCTTCCGTTGGGAGCAATTTGTTGGCTAATGTAGTAAATTGCACAGCAAAGCAACAAGGCTCGGTTTTGTTTTATAAACGTTAGCATGGGTGCCACAACACAACCATTTTGACTAACTTGCAAATATGCCGTATAAAATAGTTGTATAAACGTTTATGCAACAGTTAAAAATTTGCCCTATAAGGTATGTGTATAACTATGCTATAAGAATATTTTAAACACCTCATTTTAGAGCAAATATGTTGCAGAAAGCAAATTTGCATTCCACACAACATTAAGCCAGCATTTTGGTGTTCAGGCAACAACAATAGAGAGCTTTTATGGCTGAACGGTTCTTTTACCAAAAGCTTATACCACTACTTTGCTAGTTGGGTAAGACATTAATTTATATATAAAGCATTCAAGGTGAAGTTCATTTCTAAAACAGAACTTCAATTTGCTACCCAACTAGCAATTATCACTATTTTTAGGGTTGCCAGGACGTTTATACAGTATTCTGTACACAGCATTGTAGGTAGTAAGAACATTGGCAAAGCGTTCTCAGAACAGCTATACAAGCGGAATGGGCGCATCTAATAACACACTTCAGTCACTTAAGATGTTGTTTAAGGAATAAAGGTAACAGTTATACAACAAAAGTCAAAACACTTGCATCCGTTAAAGAACGTTTGTATCACTGCACGATTCAATTTTTGTCAACTATTCAACCAATCTGTTACATGATTCCAGTTTATTGCAACTAAATTATTTTTTATATATTGTGTAGACGAAGTGAAGAATATTTTCAAACTAACCATTACATTAATCTTTTTACTGAAAAATCGGCCATTGTGAAGTTAATACACAAGTAGCTATATGATAAGCTTCTACTTAGCAATTTTTATTGTGATGATCGTACAAAGTAGTGATGCAATTTTGATGGGCTTCGTATTTGGTTCTTATTTTAGTATTGATCAAAATATATCTAGATTTTTAAGATGTAAAATCTGTTTTAATATTTCCACAAATCCCATATTTAGACACAATTACACTGTTTTCTATCTGTAATGTCGGAGTGAAACAGAATTATTTGATTTTCAGTAGAGGACTATATTTAACGCGCACTGTGACCCAATGTCCAATCATGACATCCTCCATATTGTCTTTGGTTTACTAGAACATTTTGATGTTATCCGCAGATGTTATACAGCAATTTAGCAAATCTCTGAAATGAAATATAAGCAGAGCCAATTGCTTTACTCAGTGTTTGTACCAGATCTACACTATCTGTTTGAAAAGTTGAAGAAACCTTTACAACGAATATTCGTGCGTTGCTTGTTTTGAAGAGGAATAATTATGGTTATGGCATTCAACCTAAAAAGATGACAGCAGAAACTTAGGTTATGGTGAAGTTGTATATAAACCTTGTTTCACGAGTATCCATCACGCTTAGAGGTGAAAAGCTGATCATAAAAGCGGCATCTTTGTGTTAATTTGTAACGTTGGCAAAAATGAATTTCTGGACCGTATCTCACATATCAGGATTATATTTTTAAGTGGATGGATGGAAATGTGACAATAAAATGTACAAGTACAAATGTAGAAAAGTTTATTAGAAAATTATTATAGTACATCTGGGATTTACTGATTACCTGGTATGTCAATAGAACAGGTTATGTAGTCCTTTCCAGAAGCTCTAAATTTACCTGTAAAAATAATATAGACACATCTTTCTGGTTTATTTTACTTCATCAGTGCAACGTAATTCAATTACCGATTAAGTATGTGCAGAACCTATAATAAAAATTAAAAATGAATACAACTTGTTTAAAATACCGCACTGATGTAAAAATTAAAAAAATATAATCTACATTTATTATTTCCCTCCCACAAGCGCTATCAGCATTTTTTACTTGTTAGAATTACCTAAGTGATGTTCAGACCTAATTGAGGGAATCGAACCTCTATTAACTCGGCCATATACGAGTACTGCCACACATTCTGAACTAAATGTATGGCTGTTTTATTGCCCTTTAAGATGTTTCAAGTTTTAAAAAGTAGATATAATTAATATAGTCAAAGACTGTTTTTCCTTATTTTATTCCTACCTGACTTGAAATGTAGTCATGGTCATTAGCAGCCATTGTGCTTGTAGCGTATCTTTCGTATGCAAAGATAATTTTTTAAATAAAAGAGTTGTTAGCAAGTACAAAATGAATCTGTAGCGTACAAAGAACCACAACAAAATACGGTACGTGGTGGTACAGGTCTGTCTACCTGGAGCTCACCGATCCCTCGGAATTAATTATGTGTCCTGTGCCGATATGGGGAATTTTGAAATATTACTAGATATATAGGGGAATTTTGAAATATTACTAGATATATAGAGTACACCCTATTTCACGAGTATATATCACGGAACAATGACAGTCGATTATCTAGTAATATCTCAAAATTCCCCATATCGGCACAGGACACATAATTCTGACGGATCCATCAACGCCAGGTAGTCAGAGCCGTATTTTGCTTTGGTTTTTTGTACGCTACAGATTCATTTTGTACTTGCTAACAGCTCTTTTATTTAGAAAAGTTCATTTGCATACAAAAAACAAAACGCCAGATACCCGATTCATTATTGCCAATGTGGCAGAGTAACACAAAAATGTCACTTGCTGATCAGATGTTCACCTCAGTACGCAAATCTATGCCGAGCACAGCAATTTTGTCCCTATAAAAGTTGTGATATTGTTGAAGATGTGTAGTCTTTAACAGTTACTAAACTACAGTTGTATAAATGCTTCCGTTGGAAGCAACTTGTTGGATAAAGTAGTAATTTTGCACATCAAAGCAACAAGGCATGCACAATAAATGAATAAATGTTACCATGGATACCACAACACAACCATTTTGACTCCCGAGCTAATATGCCGTATAAAACAGGTGTATAAATGTGTGTGCAACAGTTCTAACTTTATTCTATAAGGTGTTGTAAAAGTATGCTACAAGAATGATTTAGATACATCATTTTAGAACAAATATGCTGCAGGAAGCAAATTTCCATTTCAGACCATATTAAACCAGCATTTTGGTGTTCAGGAAACAACAAGAGCTGTTACGGCTTAACAGTTCTTTTTCCAAAAACTTATAGCACCACTTTGCTAGTTGGGTAGTTTTGGAGAGTCTGGATTTTGTTTTTGTTTTCTTGAGTTAGTTAGCTATACTACATCACACCACAATATTCAACGTTACTAAGTTTTATTGAGTTGAGTTGAATGATTGTTTATATATTCCAGAAAACATTGTAAATTATGGCCATTCACATTAACCACTTTTGGCTGACACACATACCGCATACGTAAACGTTGATGGTGACCTCATTTGACATTTACCTCATATAAATCTTAAATGTCAAAAAAGGTGTACGTAAACATTTACACAATACATAAACTCATGACTTATATGTCAGCTAAGGTTTGTTTACCCGCTAACGTTTACGTATTCGGTAGTGTGAGTGTCTATTTAATATGTCGTAATAAATGCTCAATATTAGAGAGCTTTGCCAGCCAGTCACAAATAACGTATAGGTTAAAAATAAACGTTGTTAACATTGGACATTTGAAGCAATGTCTGATAAATGGTAAATCATTTTAACGTTGGTGTTTACGTATGAGCTGTTTGTGTTTTCTGAAGTCTCTATTTTGTGATTTTTACCTAGGACTTCGGTGACGTAATACCGGGCCACGGCGGAATTATGGACCGCTTCGACTGTCAATTCCTGATGGCCACCTTTGTCAACGTGTACATCAGCAGCTTCATCCAGACACCTAGTCCACAGAAACTGCTCACTCAGGTGCTCTACCTCAAGCCTGAACAGCAATTGCAACTCTACCACATGCTCAGAGAAACCTTGGAGAATAGGAATATCCTTATACCGAACGTTTAATTATATTTTTTATTTACATAAATTTAAAACTATATATTATATTTATTTATTTGTACAATTCCGTTTTTAGATTTGCTAAATGTTGAAGTATTAATATGTTTTATGCCTCGTTGATGTTTGTTCTGTTTGATCATTGATTTCTATTTTTAGTGCCGTAACCAAAGAGGATAGAGATAAGCTTGACCTTGGATCACTAACAGTGACATATCTTTTAGGACTTTTGTCACAAAGTTCGTCTTTAAGTATGCAATCCAAGGAAAAAGAAGTGTAGATGAGATAATGTTCGTATCATCTGTAAATGCTTCAAAATTCCTCACGTACTCATTCCTCTTTGACCGTAACACATGATTGTCAAACTAACACATGTCGACGTTGTCAAACTGAAACATGTTGACGTGGTGAGGTCTCAATTTGACTTACAATATCTGCGAGTTCTACGTGAATATTTTTATAAGAACCTTTGGCAGTATGGTTGTGTAATCAAAGTAGAAGGGCAGCCTTTGATGGGTTGTCACACATAATTCTCTTGTAGGTCCTGTTTTAATCGAAGCCGAGAAACGCATAGAAGAATCTTTGGCAACATTTTACGTCGACCCTAATACAATACATCCTATGTATGGTCACTTAGCGACCCTTTTGCGAGAATAAGAATACTGCCTATACTAGAATTGTAGAACATCCTGATGCACTCCAATATTTCGTCGTGGAACTAATATATTCTTCGCCATAGCGTTTTCTATATTCTTAAGCATCTCTTATGGAAAATTGTTAATGCAAAATAAATTCGTTCATCAGAACATAACACAACCGAGATTTAAGATTACATTGTTTTGGTTAAATCAGTTTTCTAGGCACTAGGTTATATGTATGTAAGTACTTATATCCACGTCGGTATCGGCTTCAAATAAAATGTTTGATGATCATATGTTACTAGCCTTAATGTTATAAAAATTGTCTATTTAAAATTGGAAGGTCAGTATATTCTTAAATTATTGGAGAGAGATATTATGTAGACGTATCTGTTTTTACAGGGATTTGAGAGTTTAGTTTATAATTGATATCTTGTTTTTCTAATTGTGCTAAAGTTCTTTAGGCACGTGGTGCAAAAGATTACTTCAAGAATTCACCCTGAAACTTTGTTTTTATTTCGGATAGTCGTAAATGAAACTTTTAAATCTCTGTCTCTTCTTTTTACATGAATTAAAATGCATCTTTTTAATGAAACTATTCAGCATAGCTTATGAACATAACTTTTTGGGAGTACAACAGTCAGAACCACAGGGTAATATAGAAATTTCCACAGGCTTTGTCATGAGAAAATTCTTCCATTTTGGATAGAACGTTCGTCTGGCATGTGCTAAATGTATTGACGTCCCATAGAATAATTAACGAATTCTGAGTTTTAATGCAACTTTTAAACTTGGCTGTTAACAACTCGAGCGTTAGTACATAAAATATCGAAACATAGCGTGATACAAAAGTCCCAGAACGGCTCTGAATTTTCTCGGTTAAGGTATTTTTGGAAAAGATCAAGGCTAGGTTTCCAGTAACTTTCCTCACACCAATAGAAAGTTGTTCTTTTCCAGAAATATCGCTGCTTTCATCGGCTAGTATATAGTATGCGCATGCCTTCCTGATATCCATAATGATATCCTCTCTTATGACCTCACCACAAAGGTCAATAATTTCATTCTGAATTTGTGGTGACAGGTAGGTGGCATTTTTTGGGCCATTCTCCATGTGTGTTTTCAAGTTTTGGTCACCAGCTTCAATTTTAAGTTTAATCAGGTCTTGGAAAACTCCCTCGTGAAGTTCTTTGCCCCTTAAAGGCAAATCATGTGTCCCACAAAAAATGACGGTTGAAATTATTGATGCTAAAATCTTCTTATTCGCCTCTATTTCACTATTGTGAGCAGATATCAGCTGCACATCAACTGGTAAGTTCTCATCGAAACATTTTGCAGCTGTAGCTGCTGATTTATGCCATTGAGATGATGTATGCGATTTGGCAAACTCGTGCATATCTTTATAGCGGGTAAACGGCCGCACTATAAATGAGCCTAGGACACCACGCACATTAGTAGGAGGAAAAAGTACACAATAAATGCACAAGGCGCCCTTTAACTTTTTTGAGTATGCAAGCCAAGGGGCATATTCAGATAGCCAGCAGAATTTAAATTTCCTCTTCAACTGAACAGCATCCTTGGAAAAGTCATAACTGGCAGGTGGAGACCAGCAGTTTTTCAAAACTTCTCTTCTTTGAACTGAAGTCATACTAAATGAACGTCCAACCCAGTTACCAAGGTCATTTTCATAATAGGATTCATCAAATGTTTTGCCGGATCCTGACGGTAGTGAAGATTGACTCGGTGTATCCAAAACGACTGGGGCGCTAGAGCCGCAAGAACTGACATTTTGTTTTGACTTTTCTTCCCCGCCGCTATCACTCCCGCTCTCGCCACTACTTTTATCTGTTTGCTTCCTTTTCTGACTACCTAAAAAATATCCAAGTATACACAAAAGGTACATATTGTATGCTCAGCCTGCGCCAAATTTATTCTCATTGCTACTATCACTAGCATAAGAATATCAACACCGACTGAACGGAAAACCACAAAACATCGGAAAACGGCTAGCCGAGTAAACTCGCCATCGCCATTCATAAACAAATCACTTATTTAATGATAAGTGATATGTAATGATAACTATATTCCCTTCTTACCCTTACCTAATAATAATTAGTAAGTATTCAAATTATTGCTTGCTTACCTTTGGAGCTAAAGAATTTTCTAATGTCCATTATTAAATAAACTTTTATCCACGGCTCACTGGCAAACTGCTCGAGACAAAAAATCTTCGAGTACACCTTAACTATGTACGAATATGCGTAACACAAATAATTAGGTAAACCAAAAATAAACATTACTAACAAACAAACCAAAATCTCAAAAAAACAGTGATGCTCAATGCTCAAATACAAAACAAAGCAAGCTTTACATTTGATTTCGTGAAATAAGTTAACCTTAAAGTGTGAACTGTCAACTGGTAGTGGCAAACAATTACGAATTCAAAGTGGTCCCTCGCTAAAAACGGGTTGGGAACCGCTGATCTAAAACCTAACAATACAATGGCAAATGGCAACTTAAATGGGAGCTATTGAAACTTGTTTCTATGCAACCAGATATACACTATTTTATTATAATTTCTTGCATTTAAACTGGGAGCGTTGCTTTTTTATTCATTAATTTTAACTTTTTAGGATGCGAAAATATCTGACATACCCAGTTAAGAGGTTTAGGAAGTAAGTAGGGTAGGATCATTTGAATTAATTTTTTTTTAGTTATATAATTCAATTTAATTTTTTTAATAGGGTCCGTCTAGGGGGGGCAAGCGCCCCACCCTGCCCCACCTTGACTACGCCCATGTTGCAGCATGTCGTGATGAACTAGATCCCCAGAGCACGACTGGGCCACCAGGGCAGTGTCATCAGCATAGAGATAGATTTCACAGTTGCTGGGGCAAGGGACGTCATGAATAAAAAGTGAATAAAGGACTGGTCCAAGAACCGAACCCTGAGGGACACCGGCTTTGATGGGCCGTGTTGTCGATAGAACGTTATTAATTTTGACCAGAAATTTCCTACCCTCGAGGAAGGCTTTTAAAAGTTCAATTTGTAGAGAAGGCCCTTGTACCACACGTTGTCAAATGAATTTGAGACATCCAGAAGCAAGATGCCAGTACTTTCGTTACGGGTGAACGCCTGGTTACTCGTTCAACAAGCCTTATGGCCTATAGCTCCGTACTATGCTCAGACCGAAAGCCAAATTGCACGTCAATTGTGGTCTGCCGTGAAATTTTCAAGGTGACGTAGAATCACCTTTTCAGCGAGCTTAGAAGGAACTGACAGTAGACTAATACGGCGGTAATCCTGGGAGAATAACGAACCCTCTTTCTTTGGAATCATTATGACATCAGCGGTCTTCCACGCTGTTGGGAAGTGCTGGGTTCTTAGCATGGCATGGATTATTGCCACAAGATAAGTTAAGGACTTCCGCGAAAGTAGCTTCAGCGCCTTATTAGTGATTCGATCCTCTCCAGGTGCTTTACGCACCTTGAGGTCTTTAATATGATCTTGGAGCTATGCTGGTGTGCAATATGGAGTCTCAGGAGATTCCGCTGATGTGTCATGCAGCTCTTCAGTTGAGGAAACTTCTGAAGATTCCTCTGAGGAAACATCACTAAGGGAGGCACTACTGCCACTGACGCCGTTGGCCCTAAAATATCTCCTGACGGATCTTACGATATGTTGCTCCTCGTCGAGGTCATTATCAAGGTCATAGTTGCATCAGCGAAAACCTCGACCTTTTCCTCTGTCCTACAGACTATGCCCATAGGACCGTGGATGTGCGGGAGTTGTTCTCGCTTTCCGTTTCTGAGCGACTTTGCAACTTTCCAGAGAGGAATACTTGAGTCAAGCATCCCCGACAGAAAGTCGCTCCATTGCTCATTACGGAATTCATGAAGAGCATTTCTCACTTCATGAACAAGATTCGTTGCTCTGTGAATGTCATCTGGGTGACAAGACCTCTTCGCTTGCTTAATTGCAGCTCTTTTGTCAGAAATTTTCTGACGAATGTCTGCAGGGAGAATCTGATTCGTATGAAGACAGTGTAAGCAGTACTGAAAGTAGTAACAGCGAAGCTGACCAGCTTACTGCCGAGACCGTAGTCATTCTAAGCGCAATATTAGTAAACGTTTAGAACCTGGTTTCATTGCCCATCCCCCGAATGCAACCCGAAACTTTGTTATTTTAGTAGCTATAAAATTCTATAATGTGACTGCTCCCCTCCCCTAATTTAAGTATTCCCCAATAGACCCTAAAAAAATAAGATACTCTCTACATCACTGGAATTTCTCTCATTGAAAACATATTAGGTAGGGGCTCTTAATAGACGTAATAAGGTAAAAAGGTATGTATGATAATTCAAATTCCATAATATTTTACCTAGGAAGAAAAAAGCAGAGATATATAGCTTTCAAAATTATTGTCACGAGCAGGCAATTATGTCTTAATATTATTAGCTTTCAATAGACTAAAGCAAAGCAGAATCAATTTTTGCGGAGAAATACAAAAAAATAGTACCCATTGGAGCTAAACAAAAAAAATAGCGTCATATAGGTACTTACCGAACTACTTTAACACCGCTGCTCTGAGGTTCCTTTAAATTTTCATTATTTGACAAAAACTCTTACACCACTTCCACATTTACATGGGGTAAATTTCGCGAATCAGCTTTCTGATAACCTTGGAGCATTGTGCTAGCACAAATAAATAAAGTACACAAACGTCGGTCCCAGTTTATATAAATTCGTATTCGTATACTCTTCACTCCGTGTACAAGACAATACAAGATACAAGTACTCTATGAGCACGACAGCACGTGTCTGGCTACTGACGTTACGCGGTCTAGTCTCGCGTACAGGTACGTTTTCTAGCCTGCGTCGATCCTTGATTTTAAAATGCTTTCCATCGACGTAAATATTAATATTTTGAACTCAAATTTCTTTGACCGTTTTTTGTTAACAAAATCCCTCGATTTTAATTAAAATAAGAGAAATACGAAAAATGTCGAACCTTCCTATTGCAGGAACGACTGACGATACGGCCCTCAATGACAGAACTATCAAAAAAATGACTTATGTCAAGAGTACGTTGATCCTCACTACAGACTCAGAGAATAAGGAAACAAATAAATCTTTTGAGTGGCTCCACACGTAGAAATAGCATTACCAGAACAGTAAGGAGCTAGTGAACCAGCGCTTAAATAAAATGAATCTGTCGACAACTACTGCTACTATAACTTACTTAAGTTATAGGTTACCAAACTTCAAAGTTAACTAGCGATTGAAAAACCGGGCCTATGATTCCTTGGTGTGTGGAAACGTGTTTCTGGAAAGCGCATTGGTACATAATTGAAACTACATTCCCAATTGTAGCATTTTAGTACTGTTTTAATGTTGTTTTCAGTTGACATAAGTTGGAAGTTACTGATTAGAAAGGTTTGATAGATGATGGTTACAATTAAAGCTTTGCTTGAAAGATCGAATCGTACAGTTTGTTTGCTAGTTTCACAATAAAACGCTGGATGGAATCTAAAAGTTTTTGCTTTACTTAAAAAGCATTGTCAGACTAATATTAACATTCAACATTGATTGGCTACCCTGATTACATATCATAACTAGCTAATTAATTGATAAAGTACAAAATTTCCTTGAACATCTTGCTCTATCTAATTATGTTTTAATGCACTCGTATGACACCCCAGCCAGAGTCCTTCTTTTCTCATTGTACGGCCCATCACTTAGTATCAGCCGAGTCAAAGGAACAACAACCTTATTTGCTTTATCCACAGTGTGCTTTTATGCCCATTTCTTTTTGTTTCTTTGTCCAGGCATCGCAATCGCAAATTGGCTTTGTATCTCAGCATTCCTAAAATTTACTGACAACATGGTCAACTTTTGAATGCCAAAAAAATATTATTTGGTTTTTTCATGAGCCAGCTTCAAACCACTTTCCTTCATACTTTGCTGATCTCAGTTTTCTGTATGCCAGGATAATTTTTAATTTACCTTCCTCCTGGTTACCTATCAATTTTTTTTATATCGAAGCAGCAGCGCAGGCAGAAGCCTAAATGCCGGAACACCGCGGCTGCTGTGATGATCCCAAAGAAATTTTATTAATACGATTTTTGAACTACCTAAGGTTAATAGAACTGGGAAAAGCTTCCTCTTGTAGATTGTTCCACAATCTCTACACTCTCGGGACAAAGGTGCGGTCGTATCGGCCGGTTCTGGATGTACGAAGTTCGACACGGTTAGGATGGGACGCCAAAGTTAGGCGGGTCTGTCTGGCAGGCACATCGCGCGACGGCATCGTGGAAGAGAGCTCTGAGGAGCAAAGCCCGTTGGTGTAACGGTAGAAAAGAGCCAGATCGTCAAAGTACAGTACTGCGTTTTGGAAGCATCGAACTGTACAAGATTGTTGCGTCCCCAAGAAGTGATAGCCTCCAGGTCTCTTGTCAGAGAAGAAGTCGTCGCTAGTCTTCTTTTTTCTAGCTCAGCGGCAGAGATCGGCTTGTCACTCTGAATTCCTGCATGTAGAGTGCTGTCATCAGCGAAGCTATGGATTGGTTTGATCGTGCACGGAAGGAGGTCGTTGATATGTAAGAGAAACAGTTAATCCCTAGCAGCAACTTTAGCCTTAAAACTCCATCATAGAATACGTTCCACAGTAGTGGCCCCAAAAAGGGATCCATATTGAACTTATATAATAATATCCATGGCCTCTCTGGTCTTCCTGACTATAAGCGTTTTTTCATCTAAGTACCTTTTAATAGTGTTAAGCAGGTGTGCAGAGGCGCCTAACTGAGTGTCCTTACTATTTCCTGCAATTTCGCCATATTAAAGGTATTCTTGGCATCAAATGCTTAATATGCAATGATTTATAGTTTTGGTGTTGTATTCGTGCTCAGATTTGGCTAGATCACAATGATATTCTGTATAGCAAACTAATGACAATATTTTTCAGTGTTTTATTGTGAAACTTATACAGATAATTGTAATTTTCAGTCGCTTGATAGAAGAGCTTTGCCAAGTTCTTTTTAGTTTATCCAGTCCAAAGTTATCATGTTGTTTAAACTACATCATGATATACAGAACCTGACAGACGAGTTAGAAACACTGAAAGTACATTAACATTTCCATAAACATGACTTGATTGCAAAATATTGTACTACGATTTCCAATCAGTGAAAACATGTACAAAAGCAATATTTGGTGTCCTGACCATCATCTCTTAATATATAAATAAGTAGCAGCAGTTAGAGTTTATATGAAGATAATGTGGCAATGTAGCAAAGACACTGATTTGGGATATGAAAATGTAATCCATAATGATAAACTGAATTTCAATATATCATGCAGTATTTTCAAAGTCATTTGCTGTGGTCTCTTGTTAATTACACGCTTTGAAAGTTAAACTGCGTCATTTTTACCATGCATCTCCTGTGTGAAGTGTTTGCGCTTAAGGACCTTAGAGATGCATTTTAAATTTCTACAGATCACATATATTCTATACAGCAGCAGATTCCATTATATTAAATCCAAGAAGGTAAACTATTATATATTTTTGTATAGTCCACGTAAGATCTATATAAGTTGACTTGGATAAATGAGAAAACGTTTTCAGAAAGCTGCGTCGGTCAGAGTGATGAAAAGACGTGGTTTTCTGACAATTCTTTTCTTGGAAAATCCAATAGTGAGTAGTACCATTTTAATTTATGTTATAGATAGTCAACTTGTATTATTTGTCATATGTACTTTGAAGACGTATGTCTTACATCTTAATGTCGTAAAATTATTAGTGCATGCAGCTGTTAAAGTACATAATTACTTTAAGAAATAATCATCAGTTCTAATATCTGTAAGAAATTTATTCCCCATGTGATGTTTTCTTTAGCTATGTATACCCGAGTATTAAAAGAAGTAAGTGTTGTATGGTGGTGTAAACGTAAATAAAATATATCATGAATATTTCAAATTCAATAAAGTGGTATCTTTAAACTAAAAACATAATCCCCAAATTATAAGCACTATACGGGTTCACTACCCGCCACACCGTTTTTTATACCCGACACTATGTTATCGTCCAAACAAAGTTTAAAGTTTTGACAACACGTGTTGTGTATAAAAATACCAGTTTGGTGAGTGGTAAAACTATGTTGTATTTATATGTGCTATGCTATACCAATTACATATGCACATTGAAAATAATTTTTGTCTGACGGCTTGAGTTCAATGAGTATAAGAGAGCAGTGTGTATAGACACATATGTTAGACGGAGATAGAAGCCGGCTGGATGTCGAAGCTCATCACTGCGTTGCGTAGCAACGCTGATGCGGCAATCTGTCGCGTTGCTAATATGTTATACCAGTTACTTGAATTAAGATGTATGTTGAAAATATGTGTCAGTTTATTCTCTACGCCCAAATAATGGTTTTATTTTGAGCGTACACATTTTTGAATTGTGAATTGTGTCGAATCTGTTCAGGATCGATTCCAGATCGGTTCTAACGGCGGCGCTTCATTTTAGATCGAAATAAAGGGTCGGGATCGCCACAAATTCTACAACATTACATCATTGGAGCAAATGTTTGCCGGAATTAGTTTAATTTAGTAAACGTCAGCCGTCTTCTGGCCTTCTCTAGCAAAAAAACATTAAAAAACAAAGTAAACAAAATGCAATCGAAAAGTAACCGTGGGATAATTCTGGTTTGGTCCTTCCCGAATCTGAGTTGCTCTCGCTAGGTATTTTTTTGTCTCAGCAGTTTGGGGCCTCGCACTGAACACATTCAACAAAAGTGATCGAGTATATCCTTATGAATGTCTTACAAATGTGCTTTTTTCTATTAGGAAGAATTGAAAAGTAAATCAAAAACAAATGTCACAAAAATGTAATGTCAAAATATGGTTTCGATTTTAACTTAAGATTGTAGCTACTGAGGTGAGGAACGTATACCTAATTGTTGAAAGATTCTTATATGTTTAAAAATCAAAACTTCCCAAAACACCAGTAATACACTACCTCCCGACGCTTCACAATACAAAAAATTATCTAAGCTGCATAACATTTTTCGTAGTGCGTCAATTTCTCAATAAAAGTAAATCAATTTTGAGAATAAACGAGCTTTCCAAAAACGCAAATGTAATCTTAATAACACTAACATCAGCTGAAATAACCCAGAGCCAACTCCACCGAGTACCCAGCCAAGTACTCGACCAGTACTTGAGTTTTTGAAAAAAGTACTAGGTGCATATCCCTGATATTAGGGGAAAGGTGAACAAGTTGACATAGCCGGGCAAGACGACACATTGCCCCCACCACGAAAACTAATCCCTTATTGGTTCAGTTCAGACGCTCGTTACAATCGGCTCCTGCGCAGTAATCGTTTGATAGTCTTTGGATGTGGATACTCCGTACGTTTAAAAAAATATTTACGTTTTTGTGTCATTGTTGCATTTTGGTCCAATGTTAGTACCATATGTCTTGTTTCATATTTATGCTATTATAGTATTTCTTGTCATGATTTATTTTGGAGATAAAAAGGGTGTTCCTAAGCTTTACTTTTAAGATATTGCAACTGTTTTTAGGTTATATTTTAACCGGCCATATTTTCATGTTATGATCACACACGCTAGCGGGCAAGTTGAAATATAGGTCATCTTGCCCTCTCAAAGACGGATCTATGAAATGTTTCTGGGGGAGGGTAAAACAAATCTGGGACCAACTTTTACCCAAAACTCCTTTAAAATAAAATTCTCGGTTAATGTTTTGGGTACGTACTATTAATGTAGAAGTAAAAACGTGGGTACCTCTATATTTTTTTAGTATATTTTTTAAGCTATTATAGTATTTTTATCCAGTGTTTTCTATTCATTTAAATTATGGGACCTGTCTGGGGGGAGTTGTTATCCCCATTATCCCCGCTCCATAGATCCGTCCTTGGCCCTCATGACCTAAAATTTGCAACTGCTGTTTTAATTTACAGATGGTTTCCAATTATAAAAGAAAAACCAATAGAGGGGCATGGAATGAGAAGAACATGGAGCGAACGTTGCTGGCTGTAGCAGAAAAGCGCATGGGTTGGTTAAAGGCTAGCAGGCATTTCCAAGTGCCCCAGGCAACACTTCGCCGCCGTGCCATGAATCTAAATAAAATAGCTGTTCGTACAAGAAAGCATCTTGGCAGACATAAAACAACCTTAAATCGAGAACTAGAAGAGGCTCTAGTGGAGCATATGCTAGCACTGGAAGCTAGATTTTTTGGCTTAACGACCGTAGATGTCTGTATTTTGGCATATGAACTTGCAGTGTGAATGAAGTTGAAACATCAATTCAATAACATGAAAAAAATTGCAGGCAAAGGTTGACTACGCTCTTTTCAACTAAGGAATCCGAATATATATTTACATCAGCCAGAAGCAACATCGATGGCACGCGCTGAAAGTTTTAACAAACCACAAGTAAAGACCTTTTTTGAAAATCTACTTAACGTAATAAATAATAAAGAAATCGACAAAAGTATGATTTTTAACATGGATGAGTCAGGGTTGACAACTGTACAAAATACTTCTAAAATTTTTGCGTTAAAAGGAAAGAAGCAAGTGGGTGCTATCACCAGCGGGGAAAGGGAAGTGCATTCAACTGTAGTGGCGTGCATGAGTTCAAGGGGAACTTATATTCCACCTGCTATAATTTTTCATCGGAAGAAATTCAACCCAACATTATACGACGGAGCGCCCGTTGGGACTTTATGTTTGTACAATGAATCAAGTTACATGACCGGGGAACTATTTGTAAAGTGGATGGAACACTTTATTAAACATGTTCTACAGAACACCGAAAACAAAACCCTACTAATTTTAGACGGGCATATCAGCCATAAAAATTTAGAAGCATTGAAACTTGCAAAAAAAATTCAGAGGTGCTATTTTGCTTGCCCACACATTGCACACATCGTCTCGATGTGTGCTTTTTTGGACCACTAAGTAAGTATACGATGCAGCAGCAACTCAATGGTTGAAGGAAAATCCAAGTCGTGTCATTAATCTTTATCAAGTCGCGTCAATTTTTTCTTCGCCCTACAATAAAACAGCAACACCAGCGATAGCTTTAAGCGGATTTAAAGCAACAGGGATCTCACCTTTCAACCCAGACATATTTCCAGAACACATGTATTTGCCCAGCACAGTAACTGACGTGCCACTTGAGGTCGATGATGTAACCACTGAATCCCTTAATCCGGTTGAATGTTTCTCTGCAGCAGAACATTTGAATGAAGAAGATCCGCAAGTCATCTACAACAGTAAATGCAAAGCCACATGAACATGGAGAGTCGTCACAAACGTTTTGTTGCAAATTTCACCTTTTCCTCAGGGAAATGCAAGAAAGTCCAGAAGAAGGGAGGCCAAGAGAAGCTACCAATATGTTCTTACCACAAGTCCATACCTACAGAGTCTTCGCGGACAAGAGAATATTAAGTGAAGAAAACTGTGTTTGATGGTTCCTTAGAATGTAAAGATAAAGGTATTCAAAAAGATTGTCAAGAAAACAGAACCGGAAAATTAAGAAAAAGCGAACGACGTGCAGTTAAAATCTATGAAAATGAATCAGACTGTGAAGAGCCCTTTAATGAGGACGACGACGATGATTGCGCATGCATCTATTGCATTGAGTTGTATAGCCTATCCAAATCTCAAGAAGGCTGGTTACGTTGCCAAATGTGTTATATGTGGGCTCATGCAGAGTGTGCAGGACTATCAATGAAGGCTAAGAACTTCATTTGTGAATTATGTTTTGATAATTGATCACTTTATGTATAATCCACGTATGTGCCGTCTTGCCCTGTAGAGTAGGGCAAGATGACATTTTGACTCTCTTTATTTTATATTTTCAGTTTTAAAATGGAATTCTGGTTTTGTTTTTCACTTGATAAATATTAAAAAAGGATGTTCTATTTGTATTATGACGCTTTTTAATTCATGATACCTTTTATATTTTTCAAAATAAATCGATTTTACCTTCCAGTAAGTCGACTTGCCTACTCTTCCCCTATGTATTTCAAATGAAGCATTGTCATAGGTTTTAGGTAAAATTGTCAAAAAGAATACACTTACAGCTACTTATAAAAATGCTATATGTCATTTATCTAAAAGCAAATTATTTTATTACGCTTCTTGTCGTATCATTGGCGTACTCAGGGGGGGGGGGTGCAAGCAAGACAGCTGATCCCCTTTTCCTCGGCTCGGAAATGAAGAGAACATTTTTCAAAAAAATTGAAATATTCATGTTCACGGATCTCTACAAGTAAATAAGAATGGAACTTGGACAGCTTGAAAATTCAAAGTATTTCAGAATTTATTCTAAGTCGTTTTTATTTTCCTGACCTTAGTCCAAAACCAAACTTTTCAAACATCTACATGTCTACAAATTTCAAACAAATTACACAATTCAAATGACCACTTTTTCTCTTCTACACGATGGCGTAATTCAAAATTATACCATTTTCGATGTCTTCATTATTACCCGTAAATAATATAAATAAGTTATAATGAGTAATAATGTCCCTCATTCGATGAGCTTAAACGTGAAATTTTATATCAATGTGTAACTTGTTATCATCTTTGATATTCTATGAAATAAATGACTATATGATAATTCCAAGGTTTACTCATGAATTTTTTTGACAATAATGTATTACATGCTTTAATATTTGAAATCAGAATTAAAAAAATGGCATACATGAGAAAAATCAAAGTTGAGACGAGGGATAAGAGTCGAAAAATCATATTAATGTTCAATTTATGCCGCCTTTCAGATATCAAAAGGTGACAATGTTAATGGGCAGTTTATTTTGAAATCTTATCTCAAATGAATTAAAAATAATGAAAACTATTTTGGAAAAATTCTTTCCCTTATCCGTCTATCTACGGAGATACTCGAAGCGTCATAAATTTTCAAATGCATTCTCTAAAATATATAAATACGCTACTTTGCCACCATTCAACCGACAATGGTGAAAATATGACAAATTTATTTGTCAAATCACTTTAGAACAAACTAGGTACTACATATCCTTCTACATAGTCTATAAAACTATTTTTGGCTATATGACGAAATTTCAAGAAATTGTATAAAAATAACGAATAAATATCGGCAAAGGCAAATTATATCCGGAATTAGTGTAACATGCTTAAATCCCAGGCAATGTCGAAACTTCTTCCTTGAAGATACTAAAAGATGTACGGTGTTCCATTTAACAAATCCTTTCTGTTGTCATGTCGGTATGAACCGCCCTGTAGGAAGCAGTATAATCCAAGTAGGAAGTTATAATAAATAAATAATATATATATATATATATATATATATAACTTGAGATATACTAAGTGACATATAAATCCGAACACCCAGTTTAAATGGTTTTATTTTAATAAAAGATGGTGAATGTATTTATCTTACTGTAAATAACAAGTGAAAAAATTTTCAGCCTTATCAGTTGGACATTCCTGTTTTTATACTGCTTTTTTTTTATTCACTAACGCTCTAAAAATGAATGTTTCAGCCGCAGTAAAGAATCAACGTTGGCGGATTTTGGTTCTTGACATCCTTTACGATCGGTTACGATGCCTAGAGTACGGAGACCTGTACGATTTCGTCAACTTAGTGAGTTTGATAGGGGCCGTATAGTGGGACTTCGGGAAGCTGGACATTCTTTTCGGGCAATTGCAGTTAGAGTGCAAAGAAGTGTAGACACTGTGGTTAGGTGTTGTCAGGCATGGCTTCAAGAAGGCCGTACGCAAAGAGCAAGGGGCACTGGACGCCGCCGTAGAACAACAGACCGTGAAGATCGCCGCCTAAGATTATTGGCCTTAAGGGACCGTTTCTCCACTACCAGGTCCATTGCAAATGAAGTGTTTGCAGAACACGGAAGACCTATTGGCATGCGAAGTGTTTACCGACGAATGAGAAGTTTTGGCTTGTTTTCATACCGGCCACCCTGGGCCTCCCTTTAACTCGAGAACACCGATGTAATCGCCTTGAGTGGTGCAAACAACGGTCACTCTGGGATCAGGAATGGAACAGTATTGTCTTTAGTGACGAGTCTCGATTTTGTTTAGGCATGCACGATGGTCGTGCCAGGGTTAGAAGGCGACGTGGTGAAAGGATGAATCCACAGTTTTTTGTTGAAAGACATGTTCATCACACTGTTGGAATTATGGTATGGGGTGCTATAGCTTATGGTTCCAGGTCACCTTTAATCTTCATCAGAGGTAACATGAACGCGCAGCGTTATATCCACGAAGTTCTAGAACCCCATCTTTTACCCTAGCTTGACACCCTCGCAGATCCAACTTTCCAACAAGATAACGCCCGACCACATGTTGCAAGAGTCACAATAGATATATATATATATATACTAAGTGACATATAAATCCGAACACCCAGTTTAAATGGTTTTATTTTAATAAACTTTGGTGTAAGTACTTAATGAAGCATAATAAGTAAATGATAAAAATTTCAAAATGATTGCACTGCTTTAAAGCCCTTTGACCTTTAATAATGTGTGGATGCACCCTGATGTGCTACGCATTCTCCAACGCGCCTAGGCATGCTTCTGATCAGGTGGTCAATGTCCTCCTGTGGTATCTCATTCCAGGCAACCACCAACTCCTCACGAAGTGCTTCTAGAGTCTGAGGAGGACGTTGCAAATTGAGCAATCTCCTACCCATCATATCCCACACGTGCTCAATTGGGGATAAGTCGGGAGATCTTGGTGGCCATGGTAACAATGTGACATCATTATGTTGAAAGAAGTCTATTGTGACTCTTGCAACATGTGGTCGGGCATTATCTTGTTGGAAAGTTGGATCTGCCAGGGTGTCAAGATAGGGTAAAAGATGGGGTTCTAGAACTTCGTGGATATAACGCTGCGCATTCATGTTACATCTGATGAAGATTAAAGGTGACCTGGAACCATAAGCTATAGCACCCCAAACCATAACTCCAACAGTGTGATGAACATGTCTTTCAACAAAAAACTGTGGACTCCTCCTTTCACCACGTCGCCTTCTAACCCTGGCACGACCATCGTGCATGCCTAAACAAAATCGAGACTCGTCACTAAAGACAATACTGTTCCATTCCTGATCCCAGAGTGACCGTAGTCTGCACCACTCAAGGCGATTACGTCGGTGTTCTCGAGTAAAAAGGAGGACCCAGTGTGGCCGGTATGAAAACAAGCCAAAACTTCTCAATCGTCGGTAAACACTTCGCATGTCAATAGGTCTTCCGTGTTCTGCAAACACTTCATTTGCAATGGACCTAGTAGTGGAGAAACGGTTCCTTAAGGCCAATAATCTTAGGCGGCGATCCTCACGGTCTGTTGTTCTACAGCGGCGTCCAGTGCCCCTTGCTCTTTGCGTACGGCCTTCTCGAAGCCATGCCTGACAACACCTAACCACAGTGTCTACACTTCTTTGCACTCTAACTGCAATTGCCCGAAAAGAAAGTCCAGCTTCCCGAAGTCCCACTATACGGCCCCTATCAAACTCACTAAGTTGACGAAATCGTACAGGTCTCCGTACTCTAGGCATCGTAACCGATCGTAAAGGATGTCAAGAACCAAAATCCGCCAACGTTAGTGAATTAAAAAAAAGCAGTATAAAAACCGGAATGTCCAACTGATAAGGCTGAAAATTTTGTCACTTGTTATTTACAGTAAGATAAATACATTCACCAACTTTTATTAAAATAAAACCATTTAAATTGGGTGTTCGGATTTATATGTCACTTAGTATATATAAAATAATATAGTTCACAATTTTTGTAAATAACATTTTTGATTATGCTAAAAAATAATCCTGTATGCCTGATTTGTTGCAGCAGTTACGTCGCTGGATAGCTGAGCATTTTTGAAGATTTTTTTATGTTAATTACTATAAGGTCCGTTAGAAAGAACGCATGTTTTTTAAATGAGTAGTACAGTGTCAAAATAAGTATTAGAAAATATATTTTATTATATCAAAATACTCAGAAATACATGTACATGCCATTTTTTTGAGTAAAACAAAATTTACGTTCTAAAAACTATGTCGGCCATATGCCGCCCTTGAGCCGAAATGCAGGAATCAAGCCTCTCGCGAAATGAGCCCATTGCGTCGGCCAGCATCCGTGCAGGAATTTGGGTTACTTCTCTTCTTATTTCCTCCTTCAAATCAATGAGGGTCCGAGGCTTGCTTTGGTAAACTTTTGATTTCAGGTAGCCCCATAAAAAAAAATTACACGTTGACAGGTCCGGGAAGCGAGGGGGCCATGGAATATCGCCATGACGTGAAATGAGACGTCCTGGGAATTTTTGCCGAAGAAGTTCCATCGAAGTGCGAGCTGTGTGAGATGTTGGCCTGTCTTGTTGGAACCACACTGTTCTGAGATGGACCCATCGACGTCGAAGTTCCGGAAAAACAGTTGTCAGCATGTGGATGTCACGCTCGGAATTCACAGTAGTTGTTTCTCCATCATCCTCAAAAAAATGAGGGGCAATAATCATCGTTGGGCCTACTGCACACCAAACTGTAACTTTTCGGGTATGCAGGGCAGGCAACTGTTGGGGGTTCACTGGAGTCCAATATCGTCAATTTTGTTTATTGACGTATCCATGTAAATGAAAATGTGTTTCATCATCCATAAACAACGTCATGTCATTGTTATCCAACTGTTCAATCATGAGCTGTGCAAAATTAACACGTTGTGCATAATCCCCTGGCAGCACTTGTTGACAAACTTGGATTTTGTAAGGATGGAACACAAAATCCTTCTTCATGATGCGACGTACAGAGGACGCATGGACCCCTAGGGAACTGGCACGCAAACGGATGGAAAGATTCGGGCTTTGCAGCGTGTCAACTCTTACTCTGTCTACGTTCTAACAGTACGGTTTCGCACTGGCGGTTTTTTCATCATTACATTACCTGTTGTGTTGAGTGCTTCCAACCATCTCAAAATGGTGTTACAGTCTGGCATTGTCCCACGACGTGGCACACGAAAGTGAACGCGAAACTCACGTTGCGTTTTAACGAAAGACTCGCCATTTTGAAAGTACCGACGTACAGTGAACTCACGATGCTCAGCGTTCCAAATCATCTTGCTAATTGAAACGGCACTTCTCCCACTATTCAACACGCCCTTCCCCACCGACACGGGACTAGCCCACTAGATGTAGTACCCATTCGAAAAACATGCGTTCTTTCTGACGGACCCTGTACAAAGGCTTTAACTTTTGGCTCCTATTTCATATTTAATCTTATGCACTTGTCGGAAAAAATAAACGATTTCTTGTAATAACCAGTTAACCGCTGTAACGAATTGGGGATAACCATTAGTTCTTATTTTGACGGTGTTTACATCTCTTCTCCAGTTATTCAATAGACTTATGACTTTAAAGTTTGATTAAAAAGCTACCCAGATTTTTTTTTGGAGATGAGTGGCCTAAGCATTCAGTCTAAAGACTATATAAATCTTTTTGTACAAGTTCTTTTACAACAGGGTTCACATTTGGCTAGTTAGCCTGATCAAATAAGTTTTGTAACGTTTCTAGATCAGCAGCTTTCAGATTTTCCAACGTAGATTCCATTCCACATATTTTCGGGTTGCACACCGCGTGTTGCTTGAGCTGTATTTGGAGTTATACGTATACAAAAGTGACTGGATGATTAGAAATTGAAAAACTAGTTTTGCCGGATTTCACAATCTTTTAATCCTGCAAATAAACTATTGACTACACCTTATATAAAAAAATATATCAATAAACCAAGTTTGACACTTTTCTGAAGTTTTACCTTCGAAGTTATGGGAGGACCGATGTAATCAACTAATTTAATAATTAGTTTTTTTGACGGTTTCTCTATCGCAACAGGAGCGACTAAATTAGTACCTACTTAAAAAAGCAGCTCGTGCAATATTTGCTTGAATAGTAGTTTTCCATATCCACATTTATTGTCAAATTGTCGTGGAAGACTCTATATCAATGGATAAAAGAATGAAATGCAAATAGAAAAAGAATATCAAGCATACTTAAGTAGATATGGTTTGTGGAACTTTCAACATTTTTTCCAAGGTGCCCATCGTTCCGTTTCTAGCTAGGTACACCCTTGTGTAGTACAACTATCAATTCAATTGCTTCAAGCTCCAATTGTTATCGGAAAATAAATGAAAATTGTAGTCAATCTGTATTTTTCTGTTAAACAATATTTACATCAGTAATCTTAATATAATATAATACTATGCGAATTTATAACTACTACCTGTTACTTAAATATGTACTAAGAAGAGATACGGCGAGTTTTGAAATACATTCTATTTTTACAATCATTTGATCGGCTTATCCACTATCAAGATTCTCAATATGACTTGAAGAATCTTACTAGGCTGCAACCTATGTACAATACGTTTTATACCTACACTACAAAAATAAATTATACAGTACTATGTACAACGAGAATTAAAAAATCTTATTAGAATTAATACATCTTGCTAATAATACCTAATGAATTTAAACACTATAAATTCAAAAATATTTTACCCTATTCAATTTAAAATTTTAAACACGTTCATTTCAAAAAATATTTTTAATTGATCATTATTAAAAAAAATGGATGACACTTTGCACACTTCGGATATCAACACTTAACCATATGTTCACATTATTTCGGTTTTCATGTGTTGGTTATAGTACAAACACAACAACTAGGAAACCAGAACACATCCGTGTATAGGTTATTTCCACTTCCTTCCAGCGCAACTAGTCTTTTTTGCACATATTTCTGTTCACATCTAGAAATGTATCCTTGAGGTAGACTGCAAATGCCGCTGCAAGTTTGTGATCTGGAAAAAGAAATGACTTGTTTTAAACGCTATAAGAATAGTTGCGAACTACAGAGTCCATTTACTCGATGTCGTATTTCTTACTAAATGAAAACGATTTACTTTTTTCTGCTAAAGCAGCCGCGAAGTCGAAAACCGTAGTACGCGGATACTGCGACTACCAAAAAAATGTGACGGATATTTGATGACTAAGGTTAGTAAAACTAGGAAAAACATCATCAGGCAGGTAGTTCCACGATCTCGATACTCTAGGAACAAAGTATCGTACAGGCCAGTTCTCAATACCCGGAGTTCGACAGAGTAAGAATGTGCAAGTACGGCGCGTTCTTTTGGCAGTCCTAACGCTTGGTGGTAAGGAAGAACGGACAGATGAGCAAAGTCAGTTAGCATTTTTTTATGCTCGCGCTACACGGACTCTAGCGAGGGAACACGTGTGCATGCAACATACACACATTCTGGCCCCGCCTTAGAGATTTGCCGAGTGTTACCTCCGCGTTCGACAGTCTACCTCCTAAGAAGTCACAAAATCCATAGCCAAGAGTAACATTCGTTTAGGACGGGATTCAAGCCCGTGCAGCTCACCATGACTGATTAGGAGTCCCATAACGCCACCGTTTCTAGCTGTAGAATAGATATCAATTACCGACATATTCGGAAGAAACTAGTCTGCTAGGTTTGTCATACTTACGCACAAGTCTCCGTCTTGACCAGCTGGCTAGCTCTGCTGTCCACTTCTGGCATGTTGACAACGTACATCCAGTTGCCCTTATTGTTCAATGCAGCTTTTGGTACGATATAGTTTGAAGTAGCTGCGCATAGTTGCTCGCCGTTAACTTTACTTTGCCTCTTCACCCGGCTGTGAAACTCCGTGGTAGTAGTACCATTTCCTAAAGCGTCTCGCCTCTGACGAGACAGGTGAGATTGCATGCGCCTCAGGGAACGACGTAGCCTTACAAGACTTTCCACTTTTCTAGACACAAAGTTCATATCAGGTTTTCAAGAAATACATGACATCTAAATTTCTTATTGATTGAATCTAGATTTTCTTGTGTGTAGTTGGCTACATGATATGATTATATCATCTTATCTACAGGGTGTTTCAGAAAAACGTGCCAATAGTTCTAGGGTAGAAAGCACATCCAAAGATAACAAAAAAAGTTATAATATATTAAATATGTGCCCAAAGATGTTCCTCTATCAGGATACAGGGTGATGGAGTTTTATTTACGACATTAAAAAAATATGTATCTACTGTACAGGTCTAGATACTGAGTTAGGATTTTAAACATCCAGCGAGCACGTCATCAGCAATAAATACACCGAATCTCCCCCAAACTACACCAGGGACGTAGAATCTAGGGTACATGGACCACTAGTACGCCACTGACCTTTTTGGAGAAAATAACTCCATTTTATAAAATACCATTCAATTCTCCATGTAATTTGTTTCTTGAGGAATGTTCGCCAGAACACTCGTTTTGAAGATATGTAGGTTTGCATATTTGAGGTAAAATCCTAAAATATGCTTATGAAAAAGTTTAATCTCCCCTACTCTGAAAACACCAAGAAGCTTGATATTGAAAACACTATATGGCATGTGAAGAAAGCTATGGCATCTCATTAACTGAATAATATGCGTGTCTTATCTTCAATCAGTCGCGTAGAAGCTTAGCATTCATCAAATCTTGACTCTGCACGTGATTGGTTTTCATGGTATACTTCTCCTGGTATCACCCATGGTAGATTCTTTTGTTTGTCTAAAATCACAACTAGTAATAGTGGAACCAATTAATTTGAGTAAAATTCTTATTTTTTTATATACCGAAGCAGCTGGGCAGGCAAGAGCCTAAATGCCAGGACACCGCGGCTGCTATGAGGATCCCAAAGAAAGTTTATTGATCCGATTTTTGTACTGCCTAAGGTTAGTAGAACTGGGAAATGCTTCCTATTGTAGATTGTTCTATAATATCGACACCATCGGGACAAAGGAGCAGTCGTATTGGCCAGTTCTGGATGTACCAAGTTCGAAACGGTTAAGATGCGATGCCAATTTCAGTCTGGCAGGCACATCGTGCATCGGCATCATGGAGCAGAGCTCTGAGGAGCAACCCCGTTGGTGTAGCGGTAGAAGGAAGCTAGATCGCCGACGGCCCGCCACGCCGGTGCGAAAGAGTACCGAGACTGTTATAGAAGAGTCATCGTGGCTCGATCTTATCTGGGCCTTGTATAGAGTGAGGAGGTCAAGTAAGAGGAAAGTACTTGTTAGCCCTAAACAAATAGCCTAGCTTTTCCAGCAGCTGCCGCTATTGACGAGATGTGTTCGTGCCAGATCAAGTCCTCGGTGATCTGGACTCCGACCAGCCGAAATGAACGGCTCTTGGGCAGAACTCGGCCATCCATCGAAACCGGATGATCGCTAGGGCGCTTTTTGAGAGTCAAGCTACAGTGCTGTGTGTTGGAAGCATTAAAGTGTACAAGATTGGCGCATCCTCAAGCAGTGATAACCTCCCGGTCTCTCGTCAGAGATGAAGTCGCCGATAGTCCTATTTTTCCCAGCTCACCGGCAGAGATCGGTTCGTTGTTCTGAATTCCTGCATGCAGAGTGCTGTCAGCAGCAAAGGACGACGTTAATATGTAAGAAGAACAGCGTCGGAGCCAAGACCGATCCAAAGGAAATACCTGCGTTAATGTTGTGGGATGAAGAGGAGAACCCGTCAATTAGACGGATATCTTGCGGTTAGAGACAAAGTCAGTTAACCATCTGCAAAGCTTCTCTGGGTGGCCATAGGATGGAATTTTGCATATGGGGGCAGCGTGGTACAGCTGATCGAACGCTTTAGTGATATCACGAGCAACGAGATGAGCCTCACCATAAGACGGGACGAGTTTACTCCACAGTTGCGTGACCTAGGAAGTCCCCTGTGGATCGCTGGTGCCGGCAATCATACTTCCTGCCGCTAATCAAGCCGTGACGTTCGAGGTAGTCCAGAAGCTCACAATTTATGCACCTCTCCATTACTTTACTTATAACAGAAAGCAGAGCTATAGGCTTGTAGTCGTAAGGGTCGGTTTTAAATCCTTTTTAGGGATGGGTTGGAGCAAATTTCCAGTTTTCTGTGAAGGTGCCGGATTCGTAAGATATCTGGAAGAGACGAGAAAAAACTGGAGCAAATTCCGCTGCACACATCTTCCATACCACAGCAGGAATCGCAACGTGAATAATTTCGGTTATCGATGAACAGACAGCCGACGCAACCGTCAGCGAAACAAACATCTTTCTAAGGAAAGGTGGAGAAGAGTCTCTGAGCCCCTCCAAATGTTGCGGCCTCTGCGAGTTCCTGCTGCGGACCGAAACCTAACCTCCACAACACCGTCTGGTCTGAGTTACCCAGCGGAGACAGGACAGCAGTGACGCGGAGGAACAAGTATGGCTCGTCACCAGCTGGATCAGCCCTTGGATAATAACGAAGGCCTCAACTGCACAGCCTGCTGCATCGGTCTTGTTTGCGCCCAACCAAAGCTCATTATGGGCATTGAAATCACCGAGAAGAACTCCCTCTGAAACGGGGTGATATATGTTCAGGAAGTCGATCTTGACAGCGACGTATTCAAGTACTCGAGGGATCCATCATCATTAATTTCTTTGTTGGGGAAGATAACCGATTGCGCAGCTTAGGTGTGGAAAAATGCAGACATTTATAAGAAAAGCTAGCGGATGCTAAAGCCTCGGTGGACTGGTCCTGGTCTACCACCTCCTTTTTACGTGTTAATGATGTTAAATAGACCTGCGGACTTATACCGCCACCCGGCGGCAATCGGTACTGATGTGTTCCTTAACGCATGCACTATCACTTAAACGGTAAGAAGTTGTTTACTCAATACATCAACTTCCAGACCAAGCATTTGCCACGGTCCCGTTCACTAGGGAACATATTATTATTTTACTTCTGAAACTATTTGCCTTTTTTCTCAAAATTATTCAGCATCACATCAGAGCAGATATCACTTAGTAACCTCGGACGCGAAGTATGAGGACGAAGTATACAGAAGGCTTTGAACACTGTTCGTACTACGCCAGGTATTTTCCACAGAGTCAGAGAAACTTTGGGGCGTAGAGCACGGGCTTTTGTTAAATCCGGAGGTGGTCACTTTGTTTAATTATTTGTAAAAGTGTAAAGGTGGCAGAAAATATGATCTGAAGATTATTTTCTATAAAAAACTGTAACAAACTAATGGAACCACTCATATTTCTGAAATCAGGTCGCCGGTAAATTACATAATTCCAATTCAGTCTGGAGGCGATCTTTATCTAAAAACGAATATGCTTCTACTACCGTTTGCAAATATTGCAATGGAAAATGCTTTTCAAATTGTGGAAATTTATCAGAAGAAAAAAGAATAGCTGCATTTAAATGTTTTGTAAAAGAAAATCTATCTGTTACGTGTGTAATTATGGTATCACAAACTTCCTTGGCTGCTACAGTTCTGTAAATATGCTGGTCTTCATTTGCCCGACACTTTTTAGTTTCAGTAGTAGTATCTTCAGAAATTTCAGTTTCAATTGTTTATGACAGTCTGAATTTGCACTGGGTCAGTAACTGTTTTTTGTAACTGATTATAGAAAATATTAGCATGTGGCAATATTCGATGAAATACAGTTAGCCATAACACAAACTTAGAATCTTGTAGCATACGGCCAATACCAGTGGCTTGATTGATGGTAACAGTTTGTTTTGAAGTAGCTTCTATTTTTCCCATGCATTCTATTAACAATTCGCGATACTCGTATACTGTATTTATAGATCTTCTTTTAAAATTCCATCTTGTAACAGAAGACCTAGGAACTCTTGCACCAACAATTTCATCCAAAACTTCAACTCGTTGTGGAGAATGAGAAAAAAAAGTTGAAATATCGCTTAAATTAGAAAAAAATACCCGTACTTTTTGATTTTGACTTGTAGCTTGGGATAAAATCAAATTTAGCTAGTGGGCATAACAATGAACGAAATAAGCATAAATATAATCACGTTGAATAAGGGCTTGAACACCTCCATAACGTCCACTCATTACACTAGCGCCATCATAACTTTGAGCTATCAGTTTCTCTGGTTTATCTAGCACTTGTTCAAATTAGTTTTCACACATTCTGAGAGAGTAACTGCATCATGGTCGGGGGGGGGGGGGGGGGGTAACAAAATTCCAACAACTGGCCTTCCATCTGGTAGAATGTACCTAAATACTATAGTCATTTGATAATTAATGACAATTAGCTACATCCGTTGTTTCGTCAGCCATAACAGCAACAAATTCAGCTTCCAAAATTTATTTTCTTATATTTTCCTGAGCCACTTATAACATGCAATCTAACAATTCGTTTTGAATGATTTTTGATACCCCTTTGAATACTGTAGATTTTTCAAAATGATCTTTAAGTGCTATATCTAATTTGGCAGTGGAATTTATTAAACCTCTAAAAATACCAGGATTTGATGAACCATCTTTTTCGTCGTGACCGCGGAGGGCTAATTCAAAAGCTCCTCAAAATTTTATGAAAACAATAATTTTTGAAAGCACATACATATTCTTTCTAACTTCATTTTGCTGTTGAATACTGCGCCTATGTGCACTGTCCAACTGCTGCCGTATATCTACTTTTCACAAAAGCTGCATTTCCAGTTGCGCATTGATATGGACTTGAGTGTTCTCATGTTTCTTAACTTTTTGTGCTAAATGTCCCAAGTTGGCTATTCCATTTTTTGTCCAGGCAGGCTCTGCAACTCCGCGACCAAACAACAAACAGGGAAAACAAAAAAAAAACGGTTTGTTGTGCTGCATCCACAAATCCAGTTATTCTTTTCATATATTTCCATTTTAAACTTTCTAATAAAGTCTCTAGATTTACCCTTTGTGGTCTGAGTTAAGTTAATTTCTGGTGTAGGTCTTCCCGCATTTTTATTTCAATTTTTTGCT